TTAAAATGATGTGGCAACAAGTGGCTAGTAAAGTTCTCAATTGTCAGAGATTCTCAATCTAGAGAGGTCTTTCATTCTCTCTCCTCCTTTACCATTTTTTTATTTTTTTTTAATAATTAGATGCTCTTAAAAATGTTAGCGTTGGAGGTGCTTTTAGGTTATATTTTGAAGAATATGTCATTTGGAATATTTTGTGCGAATTACCATCGAAAACTATATATTCGTAAACTAGTTCTAATGTATTTTGTTACTTATCAGAAACTAATCATGTAAATGCAAATATTTGGGCAGCAATTGTATGGATATGGAGCAAGACGTATAGGAGTGGTCGGAACACCACCACTTGGATGTACACCATCACAAAGAGTTAAAAAGAAAAAGATATGTAATGAAGATCTGAATTATGCTTCTCAGCTTTTCAACTCTAAACTCTTGATTATTTTGGGTGAACTTTCAAAAACCCTACCAAATTCTACATTGGTTTACATGGACATTTACTCTATCATGAGTCATATGCTTGAAACCCCCTCGGATTATGGTAATTTTTTTTTATTGTGACAATTCATAATACTATAAGTATTTTTTATAATAGAGGATCTTATGAATTCGAAAAATATATTTGCAGGATTTGAGGAGACAAAGAAACCTTGTTGCAAAATTGGATTATTGGGAGGAGGTGTATTCTGCAAAAAGTCTACATCCAAAATATGTCCCAATACATCGTCTTATGTGTTTTGGGACGGTGTGCATCCCACTCAAAGAGCTTACAAAACCTTAAACAAAATACTCATAAAAGAATACATCCACGTTTTATCTAATTAATAACTATTTTTATTACATTATTTATCTTTTTATCTTACGGAAATAAATTTTTGCATATGTATTAATAATGTAGACACGAGCCGTTTCTTTGACTAATAATGTAATTAACCAGACAACATTTGAGATAGTCATGCAAGCTTTTTGTTTTGTCTCAAACGAATCCTCAAAGATCCTCTCATGTTTGTATAAGTTTTTTTTGCATGTGTGCCATAGTTTGGTACGTCTCACCTTTAAAAGCAAGAGAGTAGATTTGTTACCACTCCGAATGTGGTTTCACCGTGCATTCGGTATGGCTCACTTGATCAACTGAGTTTCCGCACTTTACTTGATAAGCTTGTGAGAAACTCTTTTTGTCAAGAAATGTTAAAATCATAGAGCTTCTGGTGACTAATTAACAGGGCTGAGTTGTC